AAGCTACAAATGTGGCCGCCGGAATGGCGTGCTTTTTTGCCTGAATGTGAAAAAAGGCGAGGCGGCAGGGTGGTTCTTTGGCCAAAATGAATGAGAACCCAACCGTTGGCTGGAGAAGCCCTTTCTGCTTGTTTGGTGGATATGTGCTATGGTCAAAACTTTAATGAAGTGTCGGCCACTGTGGCATCCTTTTTCCCGGAAAACTCTGGACTTCCATGCGGAATTACGGACGGAGCCACTAGCTGCCCGTCAGAAGGACAAACACCAATCATAGGCACCCAAAGCCTAAAAAGGGGTTGGCCGTGACCAATCGGCAGATCTCGAACCCTGAAAACGGGATGTGATGCTTGCCCGGGGACAACCCACTTGGATTTTAAGCCGCGCAACAACAGGGCTGTATGACAAAGAAAATGCAAACTTTGGGGTAGTTTTGCGGGGCACACACCAAAGAGCCGACCGTCTGGCAAAGCCGGGTATCCCCGCAACCTCTGTGAGTATGCCCTCCCAGATGCCTGCGAGGCATTCAAAAAGGGGCGGGCATCGACGAGATGGGCAGGCTGAAGCCTTCTTTCCAACCAAAGCAAATCAGAGGGCTGGCTGAACTGGGCTGTCAGATGCCAAAAGGTTAACTTCTAGTGGGTTGAATGGAAACCGTTCAGATATGCAGACTTTAGGAACCGGATGGTTGGGAACCACCAAGTGAAAAGAGGCAGCGTGTGCGCTGGTGCCAAGGCTTACGCGCGAAAGGGACATCTCAGACCAATGGCGGCAGATTGGGGTGGTTCGCATACGCGTCTTACTCAGCTGGCGTGTTTATCCTGGCCCAGGATTCCTGGCATAAGGTCTTCCCAGGTGAAACGCGAAAGGTAAAGCCAAAGAGCAACAAAGGGATGAACCTGAGCGCCTGAGGGGGTTAGGAATCATTGTGATTTTCTGATGCGAGTGGCAGGTTGGGTTTTGGAATTCTGGCGAATGGAGTGCTAGATGTGCTATGTGTAAATCAACGAAAGCCTTTCCGCGGATCACCGACGGATGAACCAGGATCTGAAAGTAGATGGCACAATGCCCTTCTGGGGGTAAGTAAAGGGGGATGACTAACTAAAAATGAGGGGATTGTGCGGTCTATAGCCACCCAACTCTAGTGTTGAATAGGTAGATTCCAGGTAGATGGCAGGGCACTCACAGAGAATCGCAATATCCACGGATTGAACTGTGGAGGGAGTCAGGCTTTGTCCAAATCTCAATGCACGAATGTTACTTGGGTCTTCGCTCAAATCAGAAAGTGGTCAGCCACCTGTTGCTGGTCGTAACCCAGCATAGTCTCAAGAAGGGGTTGATGTTTTCCATTGCTTTAGGACAAGCACACACACACACACACACCTGAAATAACCTTAGTATTTCCCCCGAACTACACATGAGGTATTCAAACAATAGCCCATATTTAGTGAACCTCAAACTACAATATATCCCATGAAACACGAGCTGACCCCCTCCCAAAAAAAAAGAAAACATGGCGAAAGCCATGTATCTTCAGATATGGATTTCCCTTCGGAACCACGACTTCGAGCCAAGGCCCAAAACGAACGAAGAGCCGCCTTTGTCAGCGGGGGCAAAGCTGCCTCTGCGACTCGCCCGGCTATCCTGAGCAAACAGCCCCAGCGGCCCAAGACAAGCGGGACGCCTCCTGTCCCCTAATCAACGTGGAACCCACTAAAGGGTCCATGTTGATGGAAAATGGTCCTCCAGGACCAGCTTTAGTCAGGTTCCATGTAAAAGGACACGAGGGTAGGCCAAATTGTCATTCACAGATGTTCAGTGACCCTGGGAAAAAAAGGGACCCCTTTTTTGGGAAGACCATTTTAGTGGGGGCAGCCACCAACAACAAAAGGGGAAAAAGGGAGCCACTGAACAACTGAGCATTCACAGACTGAAAGGGAACCTGAAAGGAGCCTTCAGGTCGCAGCTCCCGAAAAACCGTCGGGGAGAACTGGTCTAGAAACAAGCGTGTCCAAATAGAGTTGTTCTAGATGGCCACGGAAATGGCCGCCAAACCTGGTCTATCTGGACACTATATATATATATATATATTCTATCTGGACACAACATATCCTATCTTTCGTGGAATCCACAGTAGTATTCCATCTTCTTGGAGCCTGCAAAAAAAGGACACGTGTTGAACTGCCCACAACATAGAATACGTGTCAACTACAAGGTAGAACAGTTTCTTGTCAACCAACTGGGACATTGAACTTATATTCAGCACCTGTCAGACGGGCAGTTGTGCCTAAAACTCAAGGCTGAACTTGTGCGAGATCTGTGTGGAGTTGTCTTGTCCACCAGAATCGGAGTGGCAGTGCACCAAAGCAGATCAAGTGTTGTTTTGGTGTTTGGGCACATTCAAGACCCTTGTTGTCACATATCAGTTCATCAGATTGAGTAAAATAGCAAATACAATCAACACATATGCGCGAAACATGTGAATATGAATGTGAAGCATGTGCAAGTATGTGATTTGAGGCTTCTTCGGTCAAAGGCCCTTACATTTAAATGCCACGGACAATCTTATGGAATAGTTGTGCTGCAAATGAATGTTGAGAGCTAAGATGGCAAAGTATTGAACAATGCAGTTTGTCAGTGTTTTGCAAAACACACATCGCATAGAACAGCGGTGTTCAAATACAATATTGGTGTCCAGATATACTGTTTGCTTACATTTCAGTTGTGCAAACTGTGTGATTTAGCTGAGGGACAACCTCTATAACATTGAGTGTTTTGTTTGGTGCGGTGCTTCTAAATTATATCGGAACAATCTTCAATCCTGGTGAGTCACAGCCTCGTGTGAATCCCGCAAAAGAGTTGGAGCTTGGGTTGGGGCGGTTTTAGGGTTGTTTCAATACGCTTTGGCTGGGTTTAGGGCGGGTGTCGGAGGGATTTCGGTTGAGTTGATCTCGAAAGGAAATTCACCCAATGAAACATAAAAAGCAACACGGCGGGTGGCAAAACAGAGTGGACCATTTTCAGTCTGCTTTGCGCGCTTTCGGGACCACAAGGCGAGTACAATACGTACCCCTAAACCCAACGAAGGCAAAAGGCAAATCCCGAAAGAGGCAGCTGAAGCCAATGAAGCCTTGTATTTTTGCAATTCACCAAGAAAGGCGGAGGGGGGGCGGGGGACTTCTGTGCCTTCTCGGCGTTTCCTCTAACATAGGCACCTCGCCAGGTTTTCCTGTGGCTTTCCAACAAGTCGCCGTCAAATGGATATCACAGAAAATGAGCCCGCACAGGAATGGTGAGCGGTTAGCCACCCAGGTTGTGGGACTTGTAAGTGGGTTATAGCCAGGGTGACGTATGAACTTGGGCGGAACACCCACGCAACGAAGCAAAAGCCTGAATCCTGCCATTCAGAGTCTTGAGAAAAGTCAGACTTGGCTCAGCACCAATGAGATCACGCCACACAAAATTGCTCGGTCGCCCCTATTGGGTGGAATGCGCTGGGTCCAAAGTCACGTCCTTTGTGTGTTTTTTCTTCTCAAAACCGTAGTGGAAACACCCCCCAAAGGTGATTCCCACCCCCGGGAAGAAAAAAAATGGCCAGCCGCTTCCAAGAACCCCTCAAAATCTTGATTGGACCATCCACAAAACCCGCTTGGGAAAGAGCCAAAGAACCCAAAACCGCCGAGCGCCCCAGCGACCTTTCCCGTCATAGCTTGGGAGAGAGGTTGCTGAAAAACTGCCGCACTGTCAACTACGAATGAAACGGATATTGCCTGTGCTTTTCTTTGCTTTTATGTAGCTATTGCTTGGCGTAGATTCTCTGGAGATATTGACATATAATTGTATAGCTTGGATAAAGAACTGGTGTCTGGGTCAGCTCTGATGAAACTCAGCGGCTTTTGCTCTGCACGGGCTGTTTCTTCCCGCAGGGCCAAGACGGAGTGCATTGCTGAGATACAACACATCCCTGGCTCCGAACTCATGGATCGCTTTCCGGGCAAAAGCCTTCAAAGTAAGCAAAGAATTGCACAAGTTGACACAAACTGGAAAGACCTCTGGGGGAATTGATTGTGCAAAAAACGATCTCTATGCTAAATCCGAGGAGGGCGGACTGCACTCAGAAACAAGTCGTGAGCCTCACAGCAGCGAGCGGCGCTTCCTCAAAAACGGCCAGCGCCTTGCGGGGGCATAGGCCAGTAAGTCCACGCTCGGCTCAAAATGGCCGCGGAGCCAAGAGGTTTCAGCCCCTTTCGTCGGATTCGAATCGGCCGGATCGATCTTCGGATGGCAACTTATCAGCTGAGGGATCGGTCGTTCAACCCCTGGAACTCTCATCTCCAGCACTTCTCCACTGTTTGTTTAAGTAAAGCGCAAATGTCCAGCCATGTCGGAATGTTTGGGACAACTGCATACTTAGCACCCAGCTAGGGCTCCCAACAATATAGCAATCACGCCCAAGATAGATGTCGTAGGAATCATTCAATGTTTTTGGGGAAGCACAAAGAAAACGTCCGGCTCTGTTAAGGTCAGTGTCGGCATTGACCCATGGAAAACGGCGTGGATGCGCCTTTCATGGAATCCTCCTGTTCCAACCCCGCTGGTTGGTACTCTATTCGTAGCCTGGAAAGGGGTGGGTCCACAAATGCAGCGCATCCCAGCCTGTTTCTACTCAGGAGATCGGCCTAGGTTCCAATCCGTGTGTAAGTCTTGCTAGGTGAGGTCAACCATCTTGGGTTACAACCCCAGATTGGGCGAACATCCAAACAGATTGTCAGAGGTTCTTCCGGTTTGTGGAAGCACCACCGGCCCGCCGCTTGTTTTCCTTGCACTGGAAACCTTCTCCAGGGAGTCTGAGCAACTCTTTCCCTGCTGAGTTGACAATCAACGGCCTAGCAACCAAACTGTTTAGGCATGGATATACTCTAAAATCCTAACAACTCACCAGCATGGAATAATAAATTGGCTCCAGGGAACATCGGTTGCAAAGCCTCACAATGTTTTGCCTATGAAGAAATCTACCAACTCAACAGGCTAAGGCGGCATGCGACACCTACGCCTCGTTCAGGTGGCACAACTTGCACTGAGGCGAATTCAGACAGTGGAACTCTGAACCGGGGGCAGTGTACCCCCTAAATCATGGGCACACTTTGATTCACTGCCCCCAGGCTAGGCACTACCTACTATAGCCTACGGCCCAAGCACTCAAAGTGCTTAGCCTCCAAGGGATTCTTGTGGTTGGGCCTGCCCCTCCTTTTCGAAAGACCATGAACATATGATAAAAGAATATCTAAGATTCGGCACCATCTACTCCTAGAAGTCTCACATGCCCAACAAGCGCGGAAATCACAGCATCATCTGTTGAAATGTTGACGAATATAGGGGAAACCAAAAGGTCTGACGGTTGATCCCGCTGTGGGCAAGCGAGGAAACAACGGCTTTGGCCCAACCCCGGTATTTGCTTGGCGCCATTCCGGGAGTTCAGGTTTCGCGAGGCTTGACCAGCTGATTTGAAAGACCTTTGGGGAGAAATTCAAATTTGGGTCCTGAAGGAAGCTAGCGCAGGCAATGGACACGCGAATTCGGATCCACAAAAAACACGTAAGAGACCGTTTGCCAAATAAAGGGTGATGTTTGCCAAACTCAACAGCTGAGTTGACCCATTAACAAAAACGGGTAAAAGGCAGTTTCCAGAATCGGGGACCCTTTAGTGTTTCTTGTGACCCATCACAAGGTGAACTAGACGTCAAGAACAGGCTTGGGGTTGCAAGCTCCAATCACTCCGATGATATTGGCAAAGAATACCTGGCCAGTCCGATGGGAAGCTCGCGAGTGATCAAACCTGTGACTCTTGACTCCTGGGCCGCCAAGGGTAAAAATGAAAGCGGCGCCAGAGAAAGCTGCAGCTTCAGCAACAGTGATGCAGTGTTGGTTGACAGTGGTCTCTAAGGAAGGGCCAAGTAGAGCCAACACCCATGGGAAAGCCTCAACAGGGCAGCCAAATGGCCGAACCTGCTTGTCATGGCCCCAGTCTGGGGCACACAAAAGATAACACCTCGGATTGATATTGTTTGTCCAATTGCATTTACCTACCACCAAGGAACGTGTATAACCTAGAGGTAAAAACCCTCCTTACCTCCTGCAGTAGCGAAATACCCAGAAGCACTTGGTGCTCAAATTCATGAAAGTGTCTGATTGAAAGCACCGGCGTTATAAGGGATCCTCTAATGAGCTGGTAATGTAATTTGTGTCTGGCCCCTGGCATCTTTTAAGGGACTCCCATCCTACTAGGCTGGTGTCACCCAAGCGTTAGTGATCCTGATCAACCAGGGCTTTGTTTGATGCGGGGCTGCCACTAATTGGTCGTGCCTTTTTGTTGATGGTACCGTTTTTAAGCGGAAACCGAAAGGGAAAAGGGGACACCTCTTGGAGGGTCCGACCGTCCCTGGTCAGCACCCTTCGCCCTGCCTTGGATTCCGCCGGAAGAACTGCGCTGCGAGAGCCTCGGAAAGTGAATACCGTGGCGTCCAACCAGCTGAGCCCCTTTTGGTGGTTTGCAGTTTTCCCCGAATCCAAATGCCCACTGCATTTGGGGTATCATGATAACACCAGACTAAAGCAGGAGGTATGTATCATGGGGATTTAGCTTGTTCAAAACTTTAATATACATATATATATATATATATTATATATATAGTCTATGAATATATATATAGTCTACAAGTATATCATATATATATATATATATGTATTCCTAGTGGGTATTTGCAGCAGGGGGTTGGTGCTTTGCTGGTTTTGGAATGTCCACCCCGTTTGGAAGCAGAACCGCTAGGAGAAGGGAAGTTTCCCCAAAAGTTCTCCGCATTTAGAATGAGTTGCGCCCAAACCATCAAGCAGAGGGAGTGTTCATCCTGGGTTTGCATCCCTAAAGCAACTGCGGACTGGGCACCAGCCCATTGACACTTGGTTCTAGTTGAGCCTCGCCATGATACCTTGCTACCCCCAAGGGCACCGACTGGAGCCCAGGGGTTCCCCTTGGGAAACTGCCCGAGCCCCAAAATGGAACGCTGGGATGTGAAACACTCGCAGGGGCGGTCATCGCGCTCGGAAATGGACAAGAAAATCCGGGACCCAACTATATATTAAAATGTTCAAAATATTATATCTATATATAGATATATATATATATATATACATATATGCATAATACATTGTAATACATATGTGCATATATATATATACACATATAAACAGGGTCACAGTATGGCTGTGGGGCAAAACCAATGGTACCATATGAGGTTTTTCTGGTACCTTTGGCGGATTGAAAGTTGCAAAAAGGTTCGGCCCCAAAGTGCGGCAGATGTCTATCGCTCAAAAAATCGGAAAGCAAGCTTCATTCAAGTTGGCGCAAGAATATTCAAACCAAAGAAGGTGCGGGTCGGCAAATCATAGCAAATCCGAACCAAGACTCGCCCAAGGGACGTCGATCAAACGCATGGGTGATCACCTGGAATTGGGGCGTGACGAAACTGGTCAGGGCAAACCCGTGAGCCAACTCCCTCTTTCAACATGCTTTAAATCCTGATGTTTGAACAGCCAGGGCGCTTGCTTAAACGAGTTTCGCCCAACCCTGAGGACAATCGAGGTTACCCTTCCCCCATAAGCCACGGAATCCCCGAACAATCTCTTGGGCCGGTTTAGTTTCCTCTCACTTGGCCCACACCTACAAGCCAGTCTGACCACTCATACAAGCGAACGACCCAAGGCGCAAGCCAATCTGACCACTCTCACAAGGCAGTTTGACAGCCACAAATCAATCCGACTCTTCACAGGTCATTTCGGCCACTGGAGATTGGAGCAAGCCAATCCGACCACCCTGACCAGCCAATGTGACTTGCAGATCATTGTCCGGCCTGGCCCGATACCAACAACGCATCATGAACTGTTCCGGTTGTGTGCCTGCAGGCCTGCGGGCAAGGAACAATCGAACAAGCAGAGGAACAATCGAACAACCGCATTCACATGCCAAGATGCAAATTACGAATGCATGCAGGAACCAAATGACAATGGCATTGTCTTCTGCGGCCCGGCTTCACGCCGCTGCACACCCAAAACAGTATCTGTTTCAGATTTCGGCACCCAAGTACAAAAATCATATCAGAGGATACTGCAAGAAAAACCTCTCGATCATTTCCCCTGGGGGCCCCGCGCATTCCAAGCATTTCGCTCAGGCGCACGCCTAAGCGCCGCCGCTCACGGCTTGAAGGGAAGGGGGGGGGGCCGGGCCGTAAAAATCAGGGCTCCCGATTTGTTGCCCAAAAGGAGACTCGTTCTCAGACCAAACCCCGAAAAGGTCGTTGAATCCAACCCCAAGGGTACCCTCGAAAAAGACAAAGCCGCTTCTAGAAAATGGTTTGGATGTGGATGCATGTTACCCCTGTTCCATCCTCTTTTGGTACCCTTCGAGGGGTCTACCGGTGCATCCAAACCGCAGACTTGAAGTAACCAAAAGTGATGAACCATCCTCCCATCGTTTCCTTTAAGGGGATCCGTTCCCTCATTCCCAAAGCCCTCTTCAGCCCCTACTGAGAACCGGCAAGCGTCGTAACCTACCAAAGCCAGGGGTTGTAAGTCCGCACTCAAGTCCATGCAAGTGGTTCATCAATATGCGCAGCTAGTATGCCCCCTTCGCGTGGGTTATGTTGGGGAAGCCCCACTTGGGGGGCGTATTAACTGGGGATGTTGACCACTCACTAAGTTTTAGTGAGCTTGGCCAAAACCTTTGCTCAGCCGTTCTGGCTTGGAAAATGGTTTGGGGGCACTGGGTTTCTCGAAAGAGGGACGCCTAACAGTGGGGCGGTTTCCGTCTGGTTGCCCTTTAACACCAAGGGGGAACCCTGGCCAAAAACGAGTTTTCTGGGCGCCAAAACCCGCATTTCGACCGCGCACTGAGCTTTTGTCCACTTCGGAAAATTCGCCAAGCTTCGACCCAAAGGTTTGTCCAAAGATCCAACCAAGTGGCCATAAAGCTCTGGCCTTGCACACCTTGCTCCTCATGTGGCCAATGTCCAAGACAGTCCCTGTAGCCCCCCGGCGATCAATTCCGAGACCTCAGGCTCAGCCTGCAATGCGAGCAAACCGAATCGGGCCAAGCTTCAAAACCCGGGGGAGGGTATGTCCGCCAACCATTTCTGCAGGTGCTTCATGGGTTCATGTGAATGTGTAAGTGTGTGTGTGTGTGTGTGTTGTGTGTTGAGGCAACTCTTTTCACTTTGGTTTCAAGGAAAACCAAAGGACCACCATCATTGAAGCTTGGGGTATTTAGAATCCTCTATATTATATTCACCACGCTCAAAACTCACAAACTGTGGGTCATGCTCATGGTTCCCTCTCTAGGCATCCTTACTATGGCTGTCCAAAACTTTGCTTAAAGGTTGAGAACCATTCCCAGATTGACCAGACTTCTCAGAAGTCTTTCCCAGGAAAATAAGGGACCCTCCTGTTGGAGGACCCCCCGAAAGCCTGGTAATGGTGAGCCTAATGGTCGACTACCTATTTACCCGGGTGTTGCTTGTGGCTGGTGTTGTCGGCGACGTTTTCATGGTGACCAAAACTGGATCTAACCAGGATATTCTGTTGGTCAGAAGGACCTCCGCAACAGTTCGACCATCCAGGCCGTCGTCATCCAAGGTCAAAAGGATACCCACAACAAGCACAATTGTATATGTGGTCATAAGTTGGGGGCGCCAACCAAACCCAAGTTACAAGTTACAACCATTGCCATGATAGTGTAGACAGACTGTCGTGGACTGGATCACGGGTGCAGCTGGGCGGATCCCTTCCATGTTTTTGGAGTCTGGTTGTCAGGAGAGTGTAAATGAAGGGTTTCTGGTGTAGTTACTCGGGCATAGGCCGCAGTAGCAACGTCTCCTCTTTCAGCAGTGGTCCGAGCACCTCCGTGTAGCCTCAATCCGAGCACGGAGAGCAGCTCCGCACACACAAAATCGGACCACACGTGTGCATCACCGTCCCTAGGTGCTCCCAGAATGAGGTACACCAAAAGATGACGAGGGGTTGCCAGTGGCGCATTCAACTGAGGATTCCCGCCTATTTGAGACAACACCTACTTGGCCCACCAAGGTATATAGTAAGTTGTTAGAAACTTAGGTGGTAGCCCACTTAACAGTTACCCGTCCAGTGGACTTGACCCTCATGATAGTGGGTTATAACCCAAGCATCAAACCACAACTCTCCTGCAAATCAACCTGGAACCCAAATGTATGTTTTCCTTTTTGGAGGAATCTCATATTGGGGACCCTCCCCTTTTCGGGTTTTATGTCAATCCTCGGTTGGGTCACTAACTTGGCAACACACATCCCCGCGTTGCCCCGCCTCCAATCCCGCCGCGCCGGAGAGCTGCGGCCATTCGTCACCAGGGGATGAAGCCTGCGTCGGGGACCACACATCAACACATTACTCCAAGGGAACGTGTTTATGATAATAATGTTGTTTTGGTGTGAGGGGATTGAAGCTCACACAGACAAGATCGGCGGTGTTTGTTCCCCCACGAGATGATGGAAACAACCAAAAAGGGAAGTAGCCTGGAATCGCGTCGGTGCTGCGGCCCCGGCTGCCGAGCCCCGTTACGGCGTCCAAATGACGCCCGGCATGTGTCGAAAAACGAACCAAATAAGGGCGGTGTCCTTTTAGTTTCCCTTTAACCCCAAAAAGGGTACCCTCAAAAATAAACCCACGTATGGTTGGTGAATATATCCTCTCGCTCACTCATATTGAAACTACTTGAGAGGCAAAAAAAGTTCTTCCCTTGTAACTGACGTCCACCAACACCAAGGTTGCAATGGAAGCCCTTAAAAACCCTTCGCCAATGTTCTACCCGGCCCGGATCTTTGATTCTTTACCCTCCTGGCAGCTCCCAGACTTGCCTCTGATCAGAGGCCAATTGGGGGAGCTTCCCAGCTCCGAGAGAGTCTACCATCATAACCTATGCCTCCATTTTGGGGCGGATGAACACCCATGTACCACCTATTTCGATGTGCACCAGGGGTACAGGGTTTTGACCCACAGCCACCACCGCCTGAGTCAAGTCGACTCAAACCGCCAATCAATCCACCCATCCGCCTCCTTCCGCGACCTGGCGCCAGGCCTCGGGTGGGACAGTAGGCTCTCGCGCTTCTCGGAAGACCCACTTTGGCCATGGTATCTCAGTTTCTTTGGCCTGTGGTCATTGGTTCCCTAGGAATCATTATAACATGGATCCAAAAACGACCAGGTGGATGACCATCCCGGTTAACCCCTAGCGGGGTCTTTCGGCATGGACGTGATTTTATTCATCTGCGAAGCTGGCTCTCGGGTCCGGCATCCCCCAAAAAAACGCCTCGGGGGGTTGTTAGGTGATTCTCTGAGAGTCCTGTCCGCTTCTAGTAGCAAAGGGGAAAGTCACTGTGTAGTAACACTAGTTATGGAAGACACTTGCCAACAGAGAAGAAAAAAAACTAGGCGTCTAATTGGAAGTTACTAGACTTAAGCCAGAATTGGCCAAGCAATTGTTCAAACATGCTAAACTAAACACCCAGCCTCTTTTTAGTTCTCCTTTGAGCGGTGCCAGGCAGGGCCTGCTTGCTTCAACCGATTCTGACCTGACTGAACGCAAACCGCGCCGCGGACAATTTGCGGCTGGCACCTGAGACCTTCAGCTTAGCGATACCTAAGCAGCCTGAAGTGGGCATGGGGCGAGGCTTCATTTCTCTGGGGCCAACAAACTCCCAAAATACAAAATGGGACTTCCAGGAAACCGGATGTTGATCAGAGCGTCTGTGAGGAGTTGTTTAAAGACCTCCTGCTTCTCCGCCAGGTTGATTGACCCAGGGTCGACATGTGGTTACTGTGGATTCGTCCATGGCTTTGGCGGGTTATAACCATGGTTCCCAACCACTTACTAAACTGACCAGAATTAGCCCTCTTGCGCAAAAACAAAACTCCTGGCTTCCTGCATGTGAAACTGATACTAAAAAAAAAAACTAACATAGAACCGGACTGAGGGGATGTTGAAGATGATGTTTCTTCAAAAGGGACCCTCTGGTGGGTTCCATGGCACCGTGGAGGGTCGGCCACCGATCCCTCCATGCCATCCTTCCGAGGCGCCCCAGTATACTTCGCAGCTGACCAGGCTCCACTGCCTGATGCACCAAGGGCAACACGGATGACCACCCCATGTGGGGGGTGTTCTCAACATAGGAATCGGACCCCTTGTTGGATGACCTACCTGGAGGGTCCCCAATTTTGAGAAACACCCATTTGAGTCTGACTTGACATAGCGGAATTTCTCAAAACGGTGGGTGTCCTGCTGGCTTCCCATTCAACTCGCCCAAATGAAAGAAGCGTACACTCAAAACGAACACACACCCAGGTGAATATCCCCAAGTTGAGAAGTCCGCTAAGCAGCTTCTCCCTCCTCAACCCTTGGTCAAATGAAGAAAGGCGTCGGCGAAGTGGCTGATATCTATTCACCAGCTAGTGGGGTGGTCATCCAACGCTGCCCGGTTCTCTGACGAAGTGTCCTTGTTCGATTGCACATATGGGGAACCCTCCCTGCCCTACCCCGGTTACCATGTCCCGGACCCTTAAATTGATGGACTGCTGCAAAGTCTCACCCAGCTTGAAATGGCGTTCCTTTCCAGGGAAATCAATGCACCGGAACCCCTTCCCCACCACTTTTTTGACAGGGGCATTTGGATGTTCGGACAAAATAGAAAGTGGTTGGCCACCAGAGTTCCAAAGCACAACCGGCACAACACCATTCAGGGGCAGGAATCGCATGCCTGGAGTTTGCCTGTTCACCCCAACCCTCTTTTCTTCTAGACAGATAGAACAAAGAATGAGAAAGACCTCCTCAAAGACTGCTTCAGGGACCCCAAGACCGCGGAGGGACTAAGCCAAACAGCCCCAAGAGGCCCAAGTGGCCACCAGTCAAGCCGTCTCTCGCCCTGGCGCCTTGGTCTCCGGAGAGTTGCCTTCCGCAGGAACCGGATATGCTTCCATTTGGTTAAAACCAATGGAAAACATTAAAAAACAAAAAACAGTAGTGATAGATTCCCTTTACAACCAACAGGGGGAAAAATCTAGCAAATGGAAGCATGTAACGCGTGAACTCGAGATGCGCGGCCCCCTGGACGAAAATGGTCTGCCCGGAATTTCGCACAGATGTCATAGTTCGCAGGTCCCACTTACACACACCAAAGGGGCATACCCCAAAACCAGTGGTTGTAAATTGATCGGGAAGGGCTCGGCAACAAAGGGCATCCTCATTATATTGATATGTGTATTCATGTATATATATATATATATTAATATATATATATATATATATATATATATATATATATTAGTGTGTATGGGTTATAGGCGGTGGGTATGCAAATCTCATGTGGAAGAATCGCGGAAGAGACAATGCCACACAGACCAGCTCTTGCCGCTAGGGGCTGCCGCATTTTCCCCGAAAAGGCGAGATGCTCCAAAAACTATCCAACAAAATTGCAAATTTGTGGGAAATCTTGGTTGCTGCTGATCCCTCAGCAAAAAGTTTGACTTTTTGTGGGTTTAGTGGAGAACCCTTTCATTAGCCAAAAAGTTCAAGTCTAAAGATCCAACCCAATAGCAGTCAAGAAATGACCCGTTCAACAGCACCCATCCCTGTCACGGAGAAAGGGATTCCCCGGAGGTATTAGAGACAGTCGCAGCCAGAAATCCTCATTCTGCGCGACTATGCCAGTTCGCCATGGACATTTGAGTATGCGATGTATCAAAATGGGCGTACCCAAACATGTGTTGTTCTCTTTTTTGCTTTTCTTAAAACCCACTCCCAAGCAACCACATCTTTTTTTGAGGGTGTTGTTTTAGGAGTGGGCTGAAAGGGAAGCCAAAAGCAATTCCCAATCCATTTTGTTTTTGCCCCCGCCATGTTTTACACCTAGATTTGGTAGGGAATCCACCGTACCTCCCTGAGCAACGGGGATTTCGTTTTCAAGGAACCCAAGACCATGCAGGGTTCATGCCCGTTGCTAGGGTTCATGCCCGTTGCTGAACCAACCACATCCAACCACCAAATCCTGGCAGCTGGGGACTTGGCTACAGCGAATAGTTTGTCTTGTTGCTGGTTGAAAGGGAACATGACGGCAACCAAAGTAAAGATGCTCATTTAAGTCCGGGAATGCCAACGGTGGTTAACAACAACAAGTTCCTCTACTTGCGATATGGACTGCACCCGCCATATCTTCCTCAATTGGGAGATCCACCCCGCCCAGCTGATCAGGGTCGGGGGGGTGGTCCCAGCCAAGGCGACTGACATCTTCCCCGCCCGGCGAAAAAGGGCTCAGCCCTCGCCTCTGCCCCGGGTGACTTTGCACCTGGCAAGGTCCAGAAGTCGGGGCCGCTCCTTTGCTCCATAGAAATGGTCTTCTGGAATTGAGCTTCACATTGCCCCAAAATTGAACCACCTTCCTGTGGGTGAAGCTTACAAGGAAACCCAACATGTTGAGGGCGCCTATGGCTTCACCTTTTCCCTCCGAGGTGGCTTGCTGAGTCCTTCTGAAAAGCAAAAGTTCCTACCTCTGGACGTGCCGCCGGCGCCGCTAGTCTTCCTTGGGCATCCCCCCCCCCAAAACAAAAGGATCCATTGTTGATTGATTGAACTCAGAAACCAACAGAAGCCCCACCACTTCAAGCCGGTTCTTGCCATCTTCAGATTCACACGGAGGGCCCATCGGCACCTTACGGGAACTTCCTGGGACAAGGACCCCCTCGATTTACAGGACGCAAAATGGTTCGTTATGTTAAGGCGGTGCTTTTGAGAGTGCCTGGTTGAAAACGCGTTTGGGCACCCTGCAGTGTAGGTTTCCTCTTGAAGGTAGGCGACCAACATGTGCCCTCAATTTGTGTTCCTAAACCAAAAGGAAAATGCTTGATTCTGGTCCATGGCTCGTGAAACTTGAAATGCCAAATCACTCTTAAAGTCAGGCCAAAAGAGATCCCAGAAAACACCGCCCGTCATTCCACCATCACCTAGGGCTTGTCTCAAAGCAGGGAAACCCTGTTCAGTTTCTTCCCTTTGGACTCCCTTTTGAACCTTCCCCAAAAAGCGCACCCTCCAAAAAAGAGACAACACCTTTCTCCCACCCCGCCCGCAACGGCGATGGCGGAAAAAGAAAACAAAACAATAACGTTCGCCTCTCCATCGCCGGCGGCCGCATCATCTCCGACACCTGCTGCCGCACCTTGGTGGGCGTGGCTTCGGGGGATTTTGATCACTCAGAAGTTTCATCTCCAAGTGTGCGTTGATTCACCGTGAAGATGTCCTTCTGGGCGTCCCTGTGCTAAATGGTTGATTCCCTGGGGCACACTTTGAACCCACCAAAAAGGAGAAGGGGGGGTTGTTGAGACCCAAAGTTTGAAGGCAAACCTTTCCCCACCAAAAGCTACATCAAGGCAAGCAAACACAAGGAGCAACTGGGCGGTTGAACCAGCACGGCCCCGATTTTCCGTCTGAATCCTTTCAAGGCTAACCCGGTGAGGAAAGCCTCTGGCGCCACACCCCACGGACCCCTCGGAGCCCGGCAAAGTCCAGCAGCTCCGCCTGAGCAATCAGCGGATCTCGCGAGAAGCGAAAGCGGGAACTCGGGAAGTGGCGACCTCTGTGGAAGTGGCGCGACAATCCTTCGCATTGGGCTTTCTTAATGCAAAAAAACTAAAACCCAATGCGCTTTGTCTTGTTTGTATATGCGGAACCCCAATGCATTGGGCCTTTTTGTGAAAACCCAATGGAAACTCCTAGGGTGGTCAAATCAATTGCCCAGTGGATTTCCGTCAGAAAGCCTGTTGAGGATGGCTGTTTTGGAATTCGTGCCTTAAAACCAAAGCCCGCTGCACAAAATGCCTTGCAACTCTTCAAACTCGGGGACCGAATCTAGGAATGGTTGGCTTTCTTTGGCCTTCAAAACCCCACCCAAAAGGGCTGGAATTCCAACCCAAAACCACACACTTGTTGTTCGGGTCGGAAGGGAAAGACTTCGGAAAACCGACACCCACCGAATGTCTACCTGGGATGAGTCGATCTGGCGGAGACTTGGGCGCAGTTCCCCCACCATGGCTGTGGGCCAAAAATTGGGTACCCCAATGGAACCCTGGCAAATGGGCCAAAACCTGCGGTAAAACCTTGCGGCCCATATCCTGCTCTGATTTTGACCCATACCCCCAGTTCCCCCCTCCATCCTCCGCCCCACGCATCCAATGGCGTCCTGTGCACGCTGCTCGCTGTCCAGCTTCGCCAGGCCCAGGCGCGTGGCCTCGCTTTGCTCGAAGCTCACTGGGCCGACTGGGCCGAATGGGCCAACTGCCTACGTCTTTTGGGGTTTAGGAGTAAGCAGAAGGGGTGTGTACAAACACCACTAGAACACATTCCTGAATCCAAATGAAGGCATCGGAGGTACGGTGGGCCCACTGTGCAAGGCCTGGTTCCTTCCAAGAGAAACTAGCTTACGCCCTGCCCTCACACTTCCCCATTTGGGAATCCCTTGTTGTAGGAGTCAAACACCCTTTCCGCCATACCAGCAGAATATACATATTATAGCAATGGCTATAGATATAGACATTGGATAAAGATATCTGTATAGATTGTAGATAATAGATATACATGTATGTATGTATGTATGTATGCATGCATGCATGCATGTATGTATGTACGTATGCATGCATGCATGCATGCATGCATGCATGCATGTATGTATGTATGTATGTATGTATGCATGCATGTATGTATGTATGCTAGATATGCTATGTTGTGTGATGCAATGCAATGCAATGCAACGCGATGCAGTGCAATGCAGTGCAGTGCAATGCAATCCACTGCAATGTAATGTAACGTTATGGTGTCTTGTTTTATGTTATGTTACGTTGTGTTATGCATGCACGCATGCGTAGATAGATAGATAGATAGATAGATAGATAGATAGATAGACAGATAGACAGACAGACAGACAGACAGATAGATAGATACATAAATAGATGGATAGATAGATTCGGTAGATAGATAGATAGATAGATAGATAGATAGATAGATAAACAGATGGATGGATGGATGGATGGATGGATGGATGGATGGATGGATGGATGGATGGATAGATAGATAGATTAGACAGACATTTTTTTTTGTCACACGCGCGCCTTGGGGCATTAAGCCATCGGTCACGAAAACAACAAAACAATCCTCGAGAGTGAGACGGGTGAGACCGAAAGGAATAAATGCTGGTGAAATGATTAAAACAGAGAAAAAAGAACCGGAAACACAACGCACCAAACCACAAGCAGCCAAACGAGACAAAGAACGAAAGACCATTCCCCAGCCGAGCAAAACGGAAAGAGACGAGCCGATGCGGCATTTAAAAGTGATCGCGGAACATAGTTCCAAAAGACACTGACTACACCGAATAGCTGCGCCTATGACGTATGAGCACGTTAAAAGGGAACATGCGCGCTCCAAACCGCAGGGGGCACATTTGCGCATCGTTAACCCCCACACGTGGCCACACGGTCGGAGCAAAGTGCGCATTGTTCCACAAGTTAGGCAAAGCAACACACGGGAGAAGAAGGCAAAAGGGGCCAACAAGGGCCAGCAAAAGACGAGCATGCACTAACTAATTTGTGCACAGGCATCACCCGGAGCACAACGGCAAAAAGAGGACGTGCAACGAATTACCCTCACGCAAACTTCTAGCGGAGTGGATATGGCCAGGCGGGTGTGACGGGCGTCTCTGAAGCCTCTCACGGGTCGAGAGAGCTCGTTGTCTCCGGGCATCATCCCCGAGAAGAATTGGTCGAAAAGCGGCCATACTTCAAAATGAGGACACGAAATGGAATCTTGCAGCCTTCGAATTCTCCCGACTCGTCCCGGTGTCCCGAGAAAGCGCCCAATCTGGTTGTTGACCCCGGCAGAGAGGACGCTGTGTGGTTTCACGACTTTGAGCACTTTGATCGGGTAGTAGAAAGCGCACTCAGCTAAAAGGGAACAGAGTTGAGTACAGCTCTTGCCTCCTGGAATTGGAATCTCGTCGACGCGAGCCATCCATGCAAAAAGTGAATTAGAGAGCGGGCTGCTAAAAGCCACACTAAAGAGTCCGAGCTCTTGAGCCAAAAGGCTACGGGAAGATAGATTAGACAGACAGACAGACAGATTAGACAGACAGACAGACAGACAGACAGACAGACAGACAGACAGACAGACAGACAGATAGATAGATAGATAGATAGATAGATAGATAGATTTGACAGACAGATAGATAAAGAGATAGATAGATAGATAGATAGATAGATAGATAGATAGATAGATAGATAGATAGATAGATAGATAGATAGATAGATAGATAGATAGATAGATTAGATAGATTAGATAGATAGATAGATAGATAGATAGATAGATAGATAGATAGATAGATAGATAGATAGATAGATAGATAGATAGATAGATAGATAGACAGATAGATAGGTAGATAGATAGATTAGATTGGATAGATAGATAGATATATGGATGGATGGATGGATGGATGGATGGATGGATGGATAGATAGATAGATAAGATAAGACAAGACAAGATAAGATATGATAAGATGAGATAGATCGGATAGGATAGGATAGGGTAGGATAGGATAGGATAGGTCAGGATAGGATAAGATCAGATAAGACAAGACAAGACAAGACAAGACAAGATAGATAGAATAGATAGAATAGCTAGGATAGGATAAGATAGGATAGGATAGGATAGGATAGAATGAATAGATAGACAGATAGATAGATAGATAGATAGATAGATAGGTTAGATAGATAGATGGATAGATGAATAGATAGATATATAGATAGATAGATAGATAGATAGATAGATAGATAGATAGATAGATAGATAGATAGATAGATAGATAGATAGATAGATAGATAGATAGATAGATAGATAGATAGATAGATAGATAGATAGATAGATAGATAGATAGATAGATAGATAGATAGATAGATAGATAGATAGATAGATAGATAGATAGATAGATAGATAGATAGATAGATAGATAGATAGATAGATAGATAGATAGATAGATAGATAGATAGATAGATAGATAGATAGATAGATAGATAGATAGATAGATAGATAGATAGATAGATAGATAGATAGATAGATAGATAGATAGATAGATAGATAGATAGATAGATAGATAGATAGATAGATAGATAGATAGATAGATAGATAGATAGATAGATAGATAGATAGATAGATAGATAGATAGATAGATAGATAGATAGATAGATAGATAGATAGATAGATAGATAGATAGATAGATAGATAGATAGATAGATAGATAGATAGATAGATAGATAGATAGATAGATAGATAGATAGATAGATAGATAGATAGATAGATAGATAGATAGATAGATAGATAGATAGATAGATAGATAGATAGATAGATAGATAGATAGATAGATAGATAGATAGATAGATAGATAGATAGATAGATAGATAGATAGATAGATAGACAGACAGACAGACAGATAGATAGACAAATATATAGATTGACAGATAAACGCACACTTCTAAACGCCCCCCCCCCCCTCCCTCTTATGGCAGAAACCAAACCACACCAGGAGTGCTAGACCAGCCACCCGTCATCCCCAACACGCCCATACGAGTTTAGGGGGTTCTCACAAACACCAGAACCTCCGACAAAACTGGTCGATCTCTAGCTTGGGCACATCTACACCCAAGGCGAAACAAGGAGAAAAGACTTGAAATGGCTGTGGGTCAAAAATCGGTACCTAAAGTTGAACCCTATCCTCAAGTGCAAGCTTAAGGCAACCAGTCGGACTCCAAGGCTTCCCTTGCAAACGACACGCGCCTCCAGGCGCTCGTCACAGACTGCCTTCCGAATCGAGTGGCTTCCAACGAAAAGAATCCCCACACAGAACTTGAGAAGGAGGGCCAAAAGTGGGGATGCCCATGAACTTGCTTCCAACAGCTAGCTAAAGCTAACATTAACATGGAACGCAAAAAGGGGGACCCCAAAAGGAGATTCCTCTCAACATGATGGAATTCGTGCTGGTTTTAGGATTCCGAGAATGAGGGGAAGGACCCCGAACATCCGCAAACTGAAGCATCCAACTGGTGGCTTCGTGTAAAATCTCGACTTCTCAATACCCCAAACCTCTTCCCTGCTGAGAGCCAGCAAGCTTTGGGGGGGGGGGGGGCATGCTCATCATCACAGCTTACGTGTTTTCCGCGGGCAAAAGACTTGGGAAGGTCCCTCCAACAAAAAGAAGAAGGAGCACCACTGGACGACTGGGACAGAGACGCAATCAAAACCAAACCTTCCACAGACAGATGGCACCCACCCAAGAGGAGATCCAAATAACACCACGTTCCCTCCCATCAATCCACCGCACGTATTCATCCGCGCATCAAACCATCCCTGGTGACAAGTTGGGTCTATTTGCATGGAAGAGTGGGACGGCGATCCCCCAGATTGCGAGGCTCCAACACCCCCTCTGCTTCCTGACCCTGGAAAGACCGGCTGGCGCGGGAACTGTCTTTCGGCTTTAGCGGGTAACAACTGGATCCTTCAGCAAGCCAATTGGATGCTCCAGCTTGGGGTCAGTCCATCCCTGAAGGCAGTCCAGAAGCAAATTGGCCATTCAAAGACACAGGGAAGCTCAAGAGGCCTCCAAGGCGCAAGTCCCCAGCTATCAGATGCCACTTCTAAACACCACCAGAACGGATTGGCAGTTGCAAAGCCGAAGCCGCCATCTCTGCGAGCCTAGTGCAGTCCACCAGTCACCCGAAAGCCAGAAATGAGAAGCCCTTTGAAGTGAACAGGAAATGTGCCAAAATAGGTGGACCCCTATTTATTTTCTGGTGGATTGACCTTTCGGCTTCCCTTGAACAGCTCACCCAAACACAAGCACACACAAGAACGAAAACAAAACCAAAAACAACAAACGAGGTGCCACACCGGGACCCCGCACCTGGTCCTCCCAGTGAAAGCGGTGGCTCGAACCTGCTCTCAGTTGCGGCGCAAGCGGCGGCGGAACAGCTCACTGGTGCGCTTGCGCCCCGCGCCCCGCGAAAGGGAAACCGCGGCAAAAAATAAAAGGGAAACCCAACCCTGAAGGGAAACCTAACAGAAACCCTAAAACGTGGGCAATCAAGGAGACTGCCCTCGAATCCTCGCGAAAGCCATCGGGTTTTGGAAAGTGGAAGCCTGGAAGGGAGCCGATTCATTTGGGCTTGCATTTCGCGCGGAGCCAACCCAGTGGATCAAGTGCCATGCCTTGAGCCGCATCCGAAAGCCCCTGATTTGTCGCAGGGAGATTCGGGCCCACGTCTACCAGGCCTAAACACCCGCAGGTCGTGTTCATCCTGGAATCCTGTTCGCAAGCGGAAGAGGAGAAAAAACGGAAGAGCCCAATGGAGAAGTCAAACGCCAACTTCAGGTCGCAAGCCCAAGAGAACACGTCCAAACAAGGTACCACTTGACAGTCCATGGTCAACTGGCGTGTGTGTGCACCTGGCGTAAGCTGAGCCGAACTGTCCGCTGCTGTTCAACAAATGGAAAATCAGATGTCAGCAGAAAGCTTAGGCAACACAACAGGGTACATGCACCACCTTAGTTGAAGCATCAAACTGTAATTCAATTCATCCCTAACAAATCAAAAGTACATCGGATACTACACCCACTGCCTCCGCAAAATGGTTCACGAAAGCCCAAAAAAGACTCTCTTCGGCTTTCATTTTGGTTCCCCAACTTCTGCAACCCTGGAACCCGCCTTTTGCACCCTCCCTGAAAAATGCCCCAAACCACCCCAGATCCTATCTGGGCCAACACCATAGCTTTCATCTGAGGAAAAAAAGAAGTCAGGGATGCCCCAAGAGCGCCTTCATGGAATCCGACGCCAATCGCTCAGACTTTCTTCGCAAACCAAAGCGTGCCTCTGCATCCTTTTGGGACATCCAAAGTTGCTGAGCTGCTTTAAAGCGACAAATTTTGCGAGGGGACACATCAACCCAAATGTTGCCGCTGCTTTCACATAGGAAAATCCGTATAGCATGACTGGAGTGTACTGAGGATGGATCCGAGCCCCAAGAGTGAACGCTGTGCAGGCGAGGAAACATGAGCCATACTTTGAAAACCGAATCGTGTGAAAATAGTCTACCCAGAATGTAAAGAATTAAAAATGGCAACGGCACCCCATAAGTTGGTTGGGACTACCCCCTACTCACCTTCATCTGCCCGGGTATTGATTGTGGCTCACATGATTTCGACCATGGAACGGAAACCAGAAGAGCAAGAATAAGAGTCCCTTCCAGGCACAGCAAGTGGTTGCGGAAATTATGCAAACGTTCCTTCTGGGACCATCTCCATGTGTGAGGAGTAGAGTTTCTATGCCCAACCCCGCTGAACACGAACAGGGAACTAATACCCGAGATGTGTGGCTCTCTTGGTGTTCCTTTAAACGATGCACCAAGCACGGGCACCCGCGAAAAAAATATATACGCCCACATCCCCTTTGTGAGGTCCTCTTGAGAGCAGTGGATCTCCTTTTGATTGGAATTTGAGCTGATACCCAAAGGACACAGTTCGGGAACTTCATTCAGGAAACACCCAAGCGAAACCACCGCACAACGCATGTATTTTCAAACACATAGTTTATGTGCATATCCAGGCGACCTACGAAATGGTGATTTGCCTCTTCGTTTCCCTTTAAACCCACTCCAAAAAAGGTGCCGTCAAAAAACACACACACAATCAGCCGCGCGCGCACACCCATTTCGGCGAATGGAACCCCCGCCCCCTCCTTTCTCTTGGTCTCCGGGCCCATCTTCGCGGTGCTCAGCTGCAAAGTCTCCGTGAGCCGCCTCAAGTGGATCCAAATCGTAGCCGTCTCCACACATAAAAAAAAGACGGCCTCGGAGGACAGGGCGAATTGCATGCCATTGCAAGATAAAAATATGCCTGTCCCATTTATCCCTTGGGGGGTAAGGGGGTAATTGGGTAATGACACAGTGGAGAATCGATCGCGAAAATCTGCAATGCCCGACATGGGTCATTCCCACGACTGCTTTATCACCTTGGGTTTTGTTCTTGGTGCAGAAAGTGCTTTTCACAACCAGACCCCTGTGGGTTGGGGTTGAAGGGCATCGACATGGTCCTATACCAAACAAGCGGGTTTTCAAGAACAACTCACTGGTTGTCTGGGGGTGGTTCTCAAGATCCGAAGACTACTTGATCACCTCAAAGGGACCTCCCACATTCAATGTTCGATTGTTCCAAAAACAAACCAGCAAGAAGGTGTCCCTCACCCCAAAATCTCAGCTTGGTGCACAATCAGTTCGAAAGACTCTTATTGGTAAGGTCGCCGATCTTCACCTGCCTGCAAGCGAAAAAATGGTGCCTGATGAAAAGAAGCCAAGGAGAACGTTCACCAATGTTCTACACGAAGGAACAAATGCCGGTTTCCTGTTGGGTTCCGTTTAAAGGCTTTGGCTCCCCTCAAACTGGTTTTTGATGTTGGGGAACGGCTAGAAGCAGCTTCTCGGCGCGGCTGTCCCTTAGCTTGCCCCCTAAAAGCCAACCACCAGAAGGGTACCAACCTTCCATTTGGTTAAGACCCCTGGGAAAAATGAAAATATTTCCAGTAGTGATAGGTTCCCTTTAAAACCAACACGTTTAGACCAAAAAACCCTGCGTTCGGCCACGGTGCTGCTCCAAATGCTCCACTTGCTGCAGACCTCTGCGCCACTCCGCCTCGAATCCAGCAAAAATCGACCCGAGCGAGGCCCAAGTGAGGCACAGCCCCAAGCTTTCGGGGGTCAGTTGCTCGGGTCCTCCAAACCCGGACATTCCCTGAGGCTTCCCTGGAAGTCCTACAAGAAGGGAAGGGTTGGGATGTGCCTTTCGATCCCCCTGTAAATGGCCACATTCACGGAGGTGCTCAGGGGTCACTTTTTGACGCCCTGTGAAAAACATAGAGGAACTCCGTCCTCCTCGTCTTCTGACGCCCCCCTTTGTGGCAAGCCAATCGATTCCTCCTGTGCTCAAGAGCCACCCAGTCAATGACCGTTCCTCGCTTTTGAGGTGTGGGGAAACCCAACAGGACCCTCACAAAGGTCCCCCCTGACCATGTGAAAGGGACCTTCTGTCAGCCAGAAACTCGCCGGAGGTCTGCGCTCACACCGCAAATCTCTACGGATGGCCAGAGATCACCCGCCCGGTATTCTTCTTTTTCCAGCTCAGCCTTCAGTCCGGAGCCGTCTCTGGGCTTTGGCTCCAGAGAAAGAGGCGCATGGCCGAAAGAGGTCTCGTGCCGAAGGGCAAAGGGGCGTTAACATGGAAAGGAACCCCAAAGTACTTGGCTCCCGTGTGGTTTCCCAAACCAACCCCCTCACACAACACATACCCAAGGGCCAGCCACGTGCGGCCAAATACAGAAAAGCCACATAGCCCCAAGGGGATACCTGAGACACCCAGGATAAGCCAAGCGTAAACCTAGGACCGAGTATAAGCCTGGCCAAACAAAAAGGCTTCCTGGCCATGCTACCCCATAGACCTCCCACAACAGGGTTGTCAAAAGCTCAAAGGCTCATGGTATACACCAAGGCCATGTTGGGCCCCGCCAGTTTTCCATCCGAAGCCAAACTGACAGACAATGGTTGCTCAACCCAACGGGGCGTACCACGGGTTCACACCTACGCAAGTCAGCCATTGAAATGGATCCCATTCACGCCAACACGAAACCAGGATCACAGGGGACCATCTCTGGGAGGGCTCCAAAGTAGTGGACCTCTTTATGCGGAAGGAAGCCAAAAGGATCGCCTAGCCACCCGCGAAGTGGCCTTAGGTCCCCTTTTCAACTGGGCCCCTTCAGCAGCCCGGAAAATATGGCGCAGAGACGTCCCACCTCGA